GATGCTCTTATTATAAGTGGGTAAAAGAATAATTTCATATCTCAGTCCATTATTTAAAAGATTGCAATCCATGCTCCAGTGAGAAGAGTATGTAACATGTGAAGTAGCATCATTAATTCTGTCCACCCATCTTTTTTATGGAAGGATTATATGGATCGCATTCTGTAGGCACATCTTGCTATTAACATTTAAATTCAAATAAATTAAAAATAAAAATTCAGTTTCTCAGTTGCACTAGCCACATTCCAAGCCACATGTGGACATGAGGCTACCATATTGGACAGTGCTCATAGAGAACATTTGTATTTACTGAGGAAAGTTCCATCGGTAGACAGTGCCTATAGAGAAAGTTGCAGGTAATAATACTTAGTTTTAGGTAGCAGGTAGTCTACCGTTTTGTGTTTTCTTTAGACATAAAAGAGCAGATAATTAGATTATCCTCAGAGTTATTAAATAAATATGTAAATAAATGAATTATAATAGAGTGCAGTCCATTGGCCAGAATTTGTCATAAAAGAGTTATTTAAGTTTATGCCATTTTGCAAAAGTTTTCCCCATTAAAAAATTATATGCCTTTATGCTATTTGGTTGGGATATCTAGACAGATATTAATAATTGTTCTTTTGTGTTGAGTGGTAAATTCAAAGATTTTCCTTATATTATTTTTTACCAACAATTGAGTAAGTCAGTACATGAAAAGGATATTACTGTTGGATTGATGATGGAAATGTGACCGAAACCGATGTTTATGATTAATCTAGTAATGCAAAATTCACTTCCATTTAAAAATATATTAAAAATTTTCTCTTTTTTTTTTCTTTTAAAAGTCTGCCTGTTCCTCCAGGATGAGCACACCACACTGGATTCAGTTATTCTCCCATGATGAAGATCTCAGATGCTACTGCTGTGGGTAAGGAGCTGTGTTAGTAACTATCAGAGTTTCTGTTCTCGTTTGTATGGTTTGTTCATGTGTGGTCATTGAACTATGAAACAAAAGGCTATACACACAAAAACAAAATATAAGAACCAAGTATGGATCAATAGAAGGAATGTGTTATGGGCTAAGGAGCAAGATAAACCCATTTTAGCACAAGTGGTATTCATTTTTTAAAAGGATGGAAGGAATTTAATCTATTTTCAGAACTGTTTGATATTTCACATTATTTCTGCACCACAGCTGATTTAAGGATTTCTATATTGGTAGAGATCCAGGCTATATACTGTTTATGGGAAGCTCTCAGAAGGTTGAGCATATTATCTGTGTTCTAGTTGTGAGATACCATTGTGGATTTTGGTTGTTTATTATACTATCTTTAAAACTGGACAAATTAAATGAACATGGCCCAATCATGGACCATTGACATTGATGGTACTGATATGAAGTGAGGTTTATTGATTATTGCTCACGTGTGACACTGAGATCTAGTCTTGAAGATTTGTGGGCGTTGAGCCTAGAGGCATATTGCAGTCATATCAAGGATATTGTTGTTCAGAGTTTGTGATTCATGGGCAAGTGAAGGTAGAAGTGAATGAAGGAAAAGAGAGCCAAGCCTGGACCAATGATGAGATTGGAGGGTGTCTGAATCAAAATCTTTGATTAAAGCCATCTGGAACTCTGAGGTCCATTTTAAAAAGTGGTCTCCCTTTTTTTCTCTGTGGAAATGAGTTTGTAGTCGAAGTTCAGAATATTCAGGGATCTTGCTCTTGGGTGTTCACACTTTAAGGATATAGACTGAATTTTTATGAGTAAATCAATGGATGAATGAATTAAGAAATTTATAAATGGATAGATATGAAGAGAGCTGGGTATGAACCAATTATAAGAGCATGTCATGAAACGCCTATAGCATTGAGTATATACTGATAAAGGTTGTCGCTCCTTTCTGGAAGGCGTATGCAGACAGATGTATGTAAGACTCAATATCATTGTTTGATATAGGTGATTGTTTTTATTTAGAGGTGGGAAAATTGTTCACAGGTTTACCACTCGTGTGTGTGTGTTTGTATATGTGAATGCATGATCTCATATTCAATGAGTCATTTATCAATAAATTAATAAAACAATGAATGATTGAATTAATATGTTAGTAAGATCAGGCATAGGCCATTGGCAAGCATATGCCATGCATCATGAATTTAAATTCATCTATTTTTGCACAAGTTGAGTTGGTTAAAATAAGATTATCCAAGCTCTTGCCTTTAGTGATGTATTTACCAGTGTTCATTATATTATTTAAAATTAATAGTTTAATCAACAAATAAAAAAGGAGTGTAGTTCTTGGGTCAGTAATGAGAGTGAGACTTGAATGAAGTTTATGATGAAGCTAGTACCATACAACTACTGTCTGATAAGTCAGTGTAAGCCTGTGCTGTTCAATCTTTTAAAAGTTGCTATTTGACTCCACAGAATCAAGATCATGGCTGACTTAATAGGTCTCTGCTGATGAAGATTTTGGCTGTTATCTTTGTGGGTAAGGAACCTAAAGACTAAAGTAAATAATAGTAAAAATATTTTGTCAATTGGGGTGAATTTTTCTATTAGTGTGCATTGAATTATTTAAATTAAGTGATATATAGACCAATGATATGAATGTGTTATAAAATAAAGGTTATGGTTAATCCAGTTAAGCACAATTGTGGTTAAAAATAAGATGGAAAACTTTTTTTCATTTTCAGAGCTGATTAATAATTCAGCTTATTTTTGCACTGCATTTTATTTAACATTCATCCAGTAATAAAATCTAGGACTGTGTTGTCCAATGTCATCACTCCTATCCCCATGTGGCTATTTATATTTAAAATAACGAAAGGTAAATGAATTTTTAAATTCAGTTTCTCAGTTGCACTAGCTGCATTTCAAGATGGAGTAGCTACCTATGGCTACTGGCCACCTTATTGGAGTACACAGTTTCGATACATGAACATTATCACACAAAGTCCTATTGGACAGCTCTTCATTGAGGGAAGAGCTCATAGGAGGATGGACAATAACTGGAATGGTATAGCTCTGAAGCAAGGATGTTCACATTCCTGCATGTTTCGTTGAGGGCCACTACGAAGAAAGATGCAGTCCATTGGGAAAATATCTAGTCTAAGGGAAAAGAGCCTATAAACAGATGTGGTTATATTCAAGGATATTGCTCTTGGCTTTTCTTTTTTTAAATTTTTGGGTATTGATTTCATCACTACTAGTGAATCAGTGAATGGACCAATAAACAAAGGTGTAAATGAAGAAAAAGATTGTTTTGCATGGATCGATGATGAGTACCCTGGGGTGTCTGAATCAAGGATTTTGATTAAACCCTGTAACTCTGAGGTCCATTACAAAAAGATTGCTATTCATTATTTCTATAGGAAATGAGCCTATGCCAGGAGTTAAAAATAGTTGGGATTTTGTTTTTTGGCTTCAATAAATCAACTAATAAACAAACAAACCAATAAATAGATAATTCCAATTATGAATATATGTGTTTAGACAAGGAATACTATTAATATAAATGGAAGGCAATAGAGTCTTAAGAAATCTATTTATCAGGATGTTACTTCTTTGTTTAAGGATCCTAAAGACATTGAATATAGATAATAGTCAAGATTATTCTCGGTCAGTTCAAATTTGAGGTTGTTAATTTCATTAAGGGGAAAAATATGTAAATATTACCACAGATGAATAAATATCTAAATTATTGAGTAAAATGAAAGGGTAATGCAAGACCTAATTAAGAGAAGTTATCAGTTATTTTATCATCTGCTCTGCTCTAAACTCCTCAGAATGAACATCGTCAACCTTAACATAACTACTGTGCTGTGACCAGGGACTCTGTGGTTGCCTCTGCATGTTAGCACAGGGACTCTGGTGAGTGACAGTCAAAATTCTTGTTTTGATTTGTTTAAGGTACTCTCTGTATTATTAAGAGGTGTAAATTATAATCAAATAAGGCCAACCATTATTTATTACTTATTACTTAAGAATAAATTTATTCTTAAGTTTTTTCTATTCATAGAAAGTTATTTTGTTATTATAAATGAATTGATGAATTAATCAATAAGCACATATAGAAATGAATGAGGGAAGGGGTGAGTCAGTGTTGGATCAATGATGAACACTGGTGGCGTATGAGTCACGGACGATGACTACTGGTCTGGAAGTCTGAGGTCCAACACCATGAGAAAACTAGTGTAGACCTTTTAATCCTGTGGATACCAATTAGGAATATTCAAGAATGTTATCTTTGCTCTTTTTGCTTATGAATTTTCATTCTATTTTTATAATTGGATCAATGAAAGACTCAAATAAACAAATATATAAGTAAATAAAGAGGATGAGGCATTGTCCAATTATGAAAATACATGTGGGAAATAAAATATATATATTAAAAACAATAAAGTTTGTTAAGAAATAAATGGCTCCGGTATGTTACCTCATTGTCTGAGGATGGTAGATACACTAAAAGTAATGGCCTATGTCCTTGTTTAGGCCAGGGCTATGTTCAATATTGTTTGTTTTATTAAGAAAAAATGATCATCAGATTTTAATACATACATACTTTAAATGACTAGTAAAATGAAAGAAGAAATGCAAGGATAAACGGACAGAGTATTTTAAACTTTTTATCATCTCTTCTGCCTTATGCTTGCAGAATGGATGCTCCCAAGGTGACTCCGGCATTTATCCACAGGCACATACTCTATGGTTGCTTCTATCTGTTAGGAGCAGAGACACCAACGTGAGTACAGTCAAAGTTCTCGTCTTGGTTTGGGTGGTTTTTTATTTATTTTTTTTATTATTTATTTATTTATTTATTTTTTCCTTTTTGTCTTTTTTCGTGACCGGTAACGGGATCGCAACCCTTGGTGTCACGCCCGTACCACGACCGGCAATGGGATCGCAACCCTCGGTGTCGCGCCCACACCGTGCTCAACCAGTGAGCGGACCGGTCTCTATATGGGATCCGAACCTTCGGCGTGAGTGCTGCCGCGCTCCCAAGCGCCGCACTCTACCAAGTGCGCCACCGGGCCGACCGGTTTTTTAAAAGGTATTTACTGTATCATTAAGAACATCAATTTAAGAAATCCAATCATGGCCCAATTATCAACATGGCATTGCCATGAAACCTATTGATTAATCAATATTTACAAAATTAAGAGTTATTAATGAAAGAGATGTATCAATGTGGCAAATTATCCTGAAGATAATTATAAAGCATATCTTCCTCTTAAATGTTTGTGATTCATAGTTATTTAATTATTATTAGTGAGAGGATGAATTAATAAACAAATGTATAAATTAATGGAGAGGAGGAGGGCCATCTTGGATAAATGATGGTGACTGGTGGCTTACGAACCACAGATGACAAATACGTCATGTCTGGAGCTCTGAGGTCCAGTATAAAAGAAATCTAGTCTACTGCTTCTGTTGGAAATGATCATATAGACAGACTTATGAACTTACAAGGATCGTGTTCTTGCTTTTTGTGTTCATGGATTTTGATTTATATTATTACAAATAGATCAATGAATCAATAAACAAATATAAATAAATAAACACATGACTGATTAAGGCACCCCCAAAATTATAAAAACGTGTAGAGAGAGACAAGAGAAGCTATTAATATTCATATAGAAAATGTAAGTCCATCAAGAAATAAATGGTTCAAATGTATTTCCTCTAGCTAAGGATGTAGAGGTTATATAAATAATAACCAATATTCTTGTTCTGAGTATTAATTTTTTTTTTCTTAAGGGAAATTCAATATATGTTAATACAAACCTAATTGAATAATTGGAAGGTGACATGGCAGGATCAATGAAGAGAAGCTGTCAATCTTGTGATTGTCTCCTCTGCTTTGTACTCCTCAGAAGGGGCGCCCTTGAGCAGATTTAAGGATGCTTCCGTGGTCACGAGCTCTGTGGTTGTCTCCTTTTTTGGGGATACAGATTCTCACGTGAGTAATAGTAATAGTTCTTTTAGTTTGAATGTTTCTTTAGAGCCAGGTGTAGCCCGATGATAAATATACGATTGTATGAAACATTGTTGGAGGCCAAAGCTGGACCAAGGATGATGAGGTGTCATCACCAATGACATGTCGTGGATGATGAATAACACCCGTCTGAAACGCAAAGGTCCCGTGCAGAAGAAAATCTAGTCTGTCGCCTCTGTTAGAAATGATCCTGCAGACAGATGTTGAGAATGTATAAGGATCATATTCTTGGTCTTTGTGTTCGTGGATTTTGATTGTATTTTTATAATTGGACATATTAAAATTATAAAACTTATAAACAAATAAACATGAATAGGTAAAGTATAGTCAAATTGTGAAAATATGTGGTGAAGCAAGAGAATCTATTCATATATATTAAAAACACTGAACTCGGTTAAGAAATGGTTCAAAGAGGTTACTTCTTTGGCTATTGACTATATAAACTGAAAGTAGTAATTGTTACTATTATGGTAAATAGATCAATGAAAGACTCAATAAAGAAATAAATGAACAAATATGTGAAGTCTTGTCCAATTATAAAAATTGATAAGTACCTAAAGGACTGAGTACATGAAGTGGAGAATGTGAAGGCTGTGAAGATAACGTAGTAGCTTTTCTTCCTCCTTTTTGCTGCGAACTGCTCAGAGGGATGCACGTAGGTGACTACGTGTGGTGCCTCTGTGTTTGGCGTATTGAAACCCACATGAGTAATAGTGTCATGTTGTTTGAATCTAATGTTTTTGAAGGATATTCACTCTCCATTTAAAAAGAGTGAAATATAGTCATTGAAAGCCATTCACGACAAAATAATACATACAGAATTCATGTCAAGTTATATCGATTTATATCAAATTTATATCAATGGAAGAATCGATAAACAAATGTATGTAAATAAATGTGAATAAGTGAAGTGGGATTGTACAGTCATGAAAATCATATGATGAGATTAAAAGAAAGTATTAATCTATATTAAAGACAGCAAAATCTATTAAGAAATAAATGATTAGGGGATGTTATCCTTTCGCTAAGGAAGGTATAGATGGTATATGTGTGTAGTGATGTTCTTGTTCTGTGTCAGTGGCATGATTGATGTTGTTGGTTTTCTAAAAAGAAACATTAACAAATATTTATCAAAAATAATAAATATCTAATGGCAGACTAGACCTCTGATGTCCAGCACAGTAAGAAATCTAGTCTAGTTACTCTCTTGGAAATGAATGTATGGTCAGATACTAGGAATATACAAAGATCTTGTTCTTTTATTTTGGATTCATGAATTTGATAGTAGTATTATAAATAGATCAGTGATGGAACTGTTAAATAAATATATAAATCAATAAGTATGACATTATATTATAGAGAGTGAAGCATTTTTCAGTTATCAGTATATGTGCTCAGGCAAGAAATATTATTAATATCTAAGTTGAAAACACTGATTTCCATTTAGAGATAAGTGAATGAAAGTGTGTTACCTTGTTGTTTAATGAACATATGGATACTGATAAATAAAAGTCAGCTTTATTAGGGTGAATCAGCCCAAGTTGACACTGTGTGTCTTGCCCAGAAAGTATATATGATGTAAAAAAAAGATGAATACCTAAATGACTGAATAAATTAAATGGGGAAAGCAAGATTCGATAGAGATAAGTTCCTAATTTTTTCTTATCAACTGCTCTGTGCTCCCCAGAATGGATGCACTGGAGCTGATTTAATGATTCTTTCCTAGCCACAAGATCCATGGTTGCCTCTTTATGTTTAGTGTATAGAAACCAGTGTGTTTTCTTTATTTGAAAAGTAGGAAACATAATCAAAGAAAGCCAACTGTGGCCTATTGATAGGGAATTGATGTGTTGCATTATACTGATTAGTCCACATATGAAATCTTGAGGGTGAGTAATGTGCAATCAAAATCTCATGTTGTACTCCTTAAATACGTGCAATTTTTATTTAAAATGATTTTAAAATGAAAAATTAATGTACAACTCTAAATAAGTAAAGATGAAGAGGTTGAAGCATTGTCCATTTGTGAAAAAATGAGACAAGATAAATACTAATATATAGTGAAAACACTAAATCAATTTAGAAATAAATGGTTCAGAGGTATTACCTCTAGCAAGTGATGATACAGTTACTATAAATAAGGGCCAGTATTCTTGTTCTGTATTAGAGGCATTTGATGAAATTTGTTTTTCTTGAGAACATGAAATATATATATTAGCCAATAATAATGAATTTCTAGGCTGAAAGATGAATAACGAGGGCATTTCAGTGATGTCATCGTCGGCTCTGCTTTGTTCTTAGGATGGACACACCACGCTGAGTTCCTTGCTGACCGGTCTCTGTGGTTGACTCCATGTGGAGGAGCGTGAAGACCAGTGTGAGTGACAGCCAGGGTTCTCGTCTTGGTTTGTCTCGTTTGTTTAGGGTCATCTATAAAAGTAGAACTCATGCAAGTAGAGAGTGCAAAGGGTACAAAATTTCATTTAGACAGGAGAAATAAGTTTAGAGATCTGTTGTACCGCACAGTTGCTATGGTTAATAATGATGTATTTTATATTTTAAAATTGCTAAAATCATAGATTTTTAAATGTTCTCACTACAGAAAATGATAAGGATTTGAAGGGATGGATGCATTCAATTAGCTTTATTTAATCATTTCACAGTGTAAATATGTATCAAAACACCACATTGTACCCCATAAATATATATACAATTGTTATTTGTTAATTAACAGTAAAAAGATATTTTCTTTGCTCTGCTGTGTACTTCTCAGAATGGACACCCCTGAGCTGGTTGAAGTGTTCTGCCATGTTCAACGAGCTCCATGGCGGCCTGTGTATGCAGGAGCATTAAGTCCACTGTGAGTAATTGTCTAAGTTCTTGTTCTGCTTTGGGTCATTTGTTTGAGGGTAATCATGGTATTGTTAAAAAGTATTGAATATAAGAAAAAGTCTACTAAAACTCTAAAAAAAAAGTATTGAATATAATATAAAAGCTGACCATGGCACAATTTTTAACTATGACGTTATGTTGATTAATTGATAATATGCAACATTGCGGTCAGTTAATAAAAGACATATATTCTGTGTGAGAAATCATCCTATACCGACGTTAGCGATTTTTGAGGCTCTTATTTTTGGGCTTTGTGAATGATATGCTTATTTTATTATTAATGAATTAATGATTTGTTCAAACAAATGTAGAAACAAAGGAAGAAAAAGAGACCCAAATATGGACCAATGATGACCACTGGTGGCATTTGAGTCGTGGACGATGAATACTGTGTGTCTGAAACTCTGAGGTCCAGCACAAAACACAATTAGTCAATGCTTTCTGTTGGAATAATCCTATCAGATATCAAATATACAAAGATCATATTCTTACTTTGGATTCATAGGTTTATATTTATCATTATTGGATTGAGGGTAGACCAATGAAACAAGTATAAATAAAAGAGGAAGTTGAATCGTTGTCTCTCTATAAATATGCATATGTGTGTTAATGAAAAAAATATTATTCCTGATAATTTTGAGCATTGATGCCCCTTAAGAAATAAGTGGATCATGGGTACCACCTTGTTGGTCAAGGTTCACATGGACTCTATGAAGCGAGAGTCAGTTTTATTTTCTGGGTGGATCTCAAGTTTGAGGTTGTTCCTTTTATTACAATAAAAAAAAATCCCCATTATGAAAAAATAATAAATAAATAACTGAATAAAGAAAATGTGGGAAGGAAGGATCAGTGGAGATAAGGTCTTAAATTTTTATCATCTGTTTTGCTTTATGTCCTGCAGAATGGATGCTCTTGAGTGCACTTAAGCATTCATGGTCACAAGTTCTGTGGTTGCCTCTCTTTGTTAGGAGCCTGGAGAACAAGGTGAGTAATAAGGTTCATGTCTTTATTTGAAAGGTTTTCCTTTTTTTGAAGGGTGTTCATTATATCATTAATGTGTGAAGTACTATCCAAAAGGCCAACTGTGGCCAATGACATATGTGATATTGGTATGAAGCAGGAAGCGTTATGTTTATTACCCACTTATGAAGCATTGAGAATAATTCATGAAAGATCAAACTGACAAATGACTATATAGACAGATGTAGAATATTCAATGCTCTTATTCTTTGATTTTTGTGAGTCATAGGAGCTATACAATTAATATTAGGGATTTTATGAGTTAATGAATAAACAAATGTAGATCAGAATTAAGTAAAAGAGTCCCAAGCCTGGACAAATGATAAGTGGTGGCATATGAGTCATATCTGATGAATACATGTCTGGAATTCTGAGATTTCATAAAGAAGGAAATATAGTCTATCGCTCTGTTTGAAGTGATCTGATATGTTCTGGGAATGCAGAAAGACCGAGATAATCCAGTCCATTCCCTTTGTTTGAAAGGATCTTATATACAGATGCCAGGGAAATAGAAGAGTCTTGTTTTTTTAATTTTTGTTTATGAATTTTAAAAATTAAGGTTGCAGTCACAGAATAAATCCACATGTATATTGAGTGAAGTTGCAGAGGGTGAAGGATTGTTCATTGTTGAAACTTATGGTAAGGAAAAATAATACTAATATAAATTGAAATGGATAGATAATCAATGATTGAGCAAATGAAAGTTGAACTACAGGGATCAATGGAGAGAGTGTCTCAATCTTGTTTTCATCTGCTCTGCTTTGGACTTCTCAGGATTGATAAACCTGAACTGATGTAAGCGTCCACGAGCTCCGCAGTTGCCCCTGTGCGTGGAAGCACGGAGATGAACGTGAGTAATAGTCAGTGTTCTCTTCTGGTTTGAGTGCATCACTGTATTATTATAAAGATTGGGGTGTAATCAGTTAAGGCCAAGCATGACCTAACCTTAAAAATGGAATTGGTATGACGCATTATGTTGATTAACTCGCACAGTGTATGAAACACTGAGATCACTTAGTAAAAGAGATTGAGTGTGGGAAATAATTTTATAGATAGTTGTTAAGAGATATTCAAGAATCTTTTTTTTGCATTTTTGTAACTCTTTGGTATTTATTTATTTATTTGTTTATTATTAGTTAATTGATGAGCTAATCAATCAACAAATGCAAACTTGAATGAAGAAAAAGAGAGCCAAATTTGGACGAACGCTGAAGGCTGGTGATGTATAAGTTATGAATGATGAATATTTGTGTCTGGAACTCTGAGGTCCAGTATGAAAAGAAAGCTCGTTTATTCCCTCTGTTGGAATTGATCTTACAATATCAAAGATCTTAATGTGTTTCATGGCTATTGATTGCATTTATTAATGCATGTATCTAAACACGTGTGAATAAATAAAGAGAAATTGAACCAAGCATAGACTAACTGTAATCTATAATTTTATCCCAGTGTAGAAAAACATTCTTGGATTTTACTAGTTTTATTAAGATCAAAGAGGCATGTATTAAAAAACAACATTTCTGTTCTAGATTTCTGGGAATGTAAAAATAAATAAATGAGTAAATAAAACTTGGGAAGGTGGGATAAATGTAGATAAGGTCTTAAGTTTTTTTTAATCAAATGCTCTTCCTTGTAATTCTAGTATAGATGCACTTAAGATGATTTACGCATTCTTCCACTGTCACAAGCTCTGTGGTTGCCTCAATGCCTTGGGAGTACGGAGACCGATGTGAGTAGTAACGAAAGTTCTTGTCTTGGTTTGGGTGGTTTGTTTAAGGTTATCCACTTTATTATTATAAAGTATGAGATATATAATCAAAGAAGACCAACTTTAATGATAACGTGATAATATGAAATTGATGTAAATAAAGTATTATATAGGTTAGTAGATATGAAAAATTGAAGATAATTCATTGAGGAGATACATTGATGTGAGATGATTCTGTCTTCAGAATAGGAATATCAAGGCTATTCTTGAATTTCTGTGCATAATAGAATTTAAAATTATTAGTGAATTAATGAATTAATCAGTAGACAATGTAGAAATGAATGGAGAAAAAGAGGACCAATCCTGGATCGATGATGAGATCTGGTGGCGTATGAATCATAGACGATGAATACGTGGCTTGAATTCTGAGGTCCATCACAGAAGAAATGAGGCCCATTCCCTCTGTTTCAAATGATGATATAGACAGATTTCAGAATTATAGAATGTATTTGTTTTTCCTTGTAGTTACAAATTTTTTTCTATTTTAATAATTGGATCAATGTGAGAATGAATGAACAAATAAATAAATAAAGATATAATGGGTGAAGCATTGTCCAATTATAAAAATAGGTGCTGAGGCAAAAAACCATTAGTAATAAATATTGAAAACTGTGAAGTTCACTGTCACCTCTTTGAGTAAGGATGTCATAGACAGTATAATTTATAGACAATGTTCTGGGTTAGTGGCAAACTCACAACTTTATTTTCTTAAGAAAAAATGAAGTGAATATACTCCAAATAATTGTCTAAATGACTGACTTATTAATGATAGATGAAAAAGATGGATCAATGTGTCAATTTTGTTCCTGTCTTCTCTGCTCTGTACTCCTCAGAATGGATACACTTGTGCTGATTTAAGGATCCTTCTACAGTCACGTGCTCTGTTGACATCAGGCTTAGGAAGATGTACCCAATGTGAGTAACAGTCAAAGTTCTTGGGTGGTTTGTTTAATAAGATTATTTAATATATTAATAAAAATGTGTAATATAATCAAAGATGACCAACTGCATCTCGGTGATAGATATGGGAGAGTTATGAAGTATTTTCTTTGTAATGCATATGTGGAAAATGGAGGATAATTAATAAAACTAATATATCAATGTTAGAATGATTCTGAATACATATTAGGAATATGAACACTGTTCAGATTTATTGAATCATAGGGACTTAAAAGTTTAATTAGGGAATAAATGAATTGATTAATAGATAAGGTAAAAACTATTGGAGAAAAAGAGGACCAATCTCGGATCGATGATGACCGCTGGTGGCGTATGAGTCACAGACGATGAATACGTGGCTTGAACTCTGAGGTCCGTCCCCAGACAGATCTGACCCATTCCCTCTTTTTCAAATGATTCTAATAGGTGGATGTCAGGAATATGGAATGTGTTTGCTTTTGGTCTTTGCGTTTGACTACTTTCATTCTATTTTTATAATTGGTCAATGTGAGAATTAATAAATTAATATATATAAATAAATAAAGATGGATGAGGTTAAGTGTTTTCTAATTATAAAAGTATGTGGTGAGGCAAGAAATGCTATTAATATATATTGAAACAGTGAAGTCCAAAGAGAAATTAATGATACGTGTCTGTCACCTCTTTGGCTAATGATGATACAGACAATGTTCAAATTCTTGATCTGTTGCAAGATCAAAAGTATTCATTTTCTTAACAGAAAGTTAAATAAACATAGTCCCTGCAATGATTGCGTAAATACCTAATTAAATGAAAGTGAAAAGCAGGAATCGATAGTGAGAATGTGCCAATTATTTTGTTATCATTTCCTCTGCTCTGTACTCCTCAGAATGTATGCACTTGTGCTGATTTAAGGATTCTTCTATGGTCGCATGCTGTTTGCAACAGACTTAGGAACATATGAGACCTGTGTGAGTAACAGTCAACGTTTTTGTCTTGGTTTGGGTGGTTTGCTTTAGAGTATTCAATGCTTTATTTAAAAGTGTGTAATATAATCAAAGATAGCCAACTGTATTCCAGTGATAGATATGGAAGCAATATGAAGTATTCTGTTGATAATACATGGAAAATCTGAGGATAATTAATGAAACAGATAGATCGATGTTAGAATGATTCTATATACAAATTAGGAATATGAAGGCTATTCTCGGGGTTTTGTGAACCATTATTAATGGTTAAGGTCTTAAAATCATTATTAATGAATTAATGAATCAATCAATAGACAAGGTAGAAGTGAATGGACAAAAAGATGATCACTTCTGGATCGATGATGACATCTGGTAGCATATGAGTCACATACAATGAATACGTGTCTGCAACTCTGAGGTCCATCACTAAAGAAATCTGCCTCATTCCTTTTTTTTCAATGATCCTGTAGAAAGATGTCGGGGATATGCAATGTATTTGTTTTTGGGTTTTTTTCATCCTTTATAATTGGATCAGTGAAATAATTTATATGTACACATATATACTCTATATAAGTAAATAAATAAATTAATTAAAAAATATGAAGTTGCTGAAGCATTGTCCATTTATAAAATGAGTTGTGAGGCCAAATATACTGTTATTACATATTGAAAATATTGGAATCCCATAAGAATTAAGAGTTAGATCACTGTAACCTTTTCGGCTAAGGATAATGTAGACAGTATAATAGATTATATTCAACATCTGTATCAAGGAAAGCTGCAAGTTGTTCATTTTCTTAAGACAAAATAAAATAAATACTTTCCAAGTAATGATTTCCTAAATGATCGACTAAAGGAAAGATAATAAGCAAGGATCAAGGAGATCTAGATCAAAAATCAACTTTTTAGTGATCTCTGCTCTGTAATCCTCAGAATGAACACTTCCGAGCTGATTTCTGTGCCCTTCCACGGTCACGAGCTCTCCAGTTGCATGTGTGTGCGAGGAGCATGAAGACCAAGGTGAGTATTAGTCAACACTCTTGTTTTGATTGTTTTTTAAAAGGTATTTGTTATATTATTAAAAAGTATTAAACATAATGAAAGAAGGCTAATCACAAAAGTGTTAAATATCATATTGACCTGAAGCATTAGATCAATTACTCCATGTATAAAACTGAGCTCAATTAATGAAAAAACTTGATCTCTGTGGAAATGATTGTATAGATGGATGTTAGAGATATTCAAGAATGTTATTTTTTTTTTCAGAAATGTATGTGTATTTCTTAATTAATGAATAAATCGATAAACAAATGTAGATGGCAGTAGAAACAGAAGGCCCGTCCTGGACCAGTGATGACCACTGGTGGCGAATAGTATGAGTCACGCATGATGAATACCACGTGTCTGGAACTCTGAGGTCCAACACACATAAAATCTAGCCTGTTCCTCCTTCCTAAAGGGATCCTATGCCCAGATGCCAGGATATACAAGGATCTTGTTTTTAATATTTGTGTTCATAAATTTAAAAAATATTGTGAAAGAATCAAGGGCAGAATGAATGAACAAATGTGTAAATGAATAGAGATAAAGAGCATGAATCATTGTTTATTGCTAAAATACGTAGAAAGAAAAATAGATATTAGTGTAAATTGGAATGGACAATATATGGGTGAAGTGCACTATGTCTTGGATTAAGCATGACAAGACAGTGATAGGTAACAGTTATTACTCTCAGTCAGCTGGAAGTTTAAAGTTTACTTTATTAAGAGGAAAGGAAATATTACCATTATTAAAATCAAAATGATGATGCAAATGAATGGGGGAATATATGGATCAATGAAGAGGATGTATCAGTTTTTGTTACCTCTGCTTTGCATTCTTTAGAATGGATGCACCAAATTGATTTAAGAATTTGCTATACTCGAGATTTGTGTTGCTTTTGTATTTGGAGAAAGACCAATGTGAGTAATAGCCCAAATTCTCGTCTTTTGTGTACTTGATTAAAGGCATTCACAGTATTATTAAAAATTTTAATCAAAAGTTAACCATGATTCCATGATAAATAGGATATAGAACATTATATTTATTAACTGACCATGTGCCACATAAATGTGTATTCATAAAAGAGACACTTTCTGCTTTTTTTTTTTGTCTTTTTTTTTCCGTGTCCGGCAACGGATTGCAACCCTCAGTGTC